AATATGTTCTTCTTTAATATTAATGTTATTAATAGTATTGGCTAAAATGTTTATTATGGATAATATATTTGTTTTACTTGTTTATTTATTAATTATGACTTTATAATGACAATTTTGTATTGCTAGCTTATAGTGTATAGGTTTAAAACTAACCCATATCTCCAAAGCTGGACGAACTTCATGGAATATTGCCCCCCAAGTGGCACAGCGGTATATCTGCGGACTTACAAGGCTAGAATCCGGGTTTCGATACCCGTGGGGGGCAGAGCCCAGATAGCCCATTGTATAGCTTTGTGCTTAATTATAAACGAACAAACATGGTGTATTACTGGGATTACGTCCGAAAATACGCTAACAGTGAGGGTACCCTACTGCTGAGTCAATGCATTATAAAATATACAAGGTTTTGCGTTACGACTTCTAGTTAGAGATACATAGATTAAATTGGCTATATTAATTACTGGATTCATTTTATAATAATATACGTTAGTTTAGCTGTATTAATTACCGGATTAATTTTAGAGCTATATACATTAGATTAGCTATATTAATTACCGGATTGATTTTAGAGCTATATACATTAGATTAGCTATATTAATTACCGGATTAACTTTAGAGCTATATACATTAGTTTAGCTATATTTATTAATGGATTAATTTTAGAGCTATATACATTAGTTTAGTTATATTAATTAATGGATTAACTTTAGAGCTATATACATTAGTTTAGCTATATTAATTAATGGATTAACTTTAGAGCTATATACATTAGATTAGCTATATTAATTAATGGATTAATTTTAGAGCTATATACATTAGTTTAGCTATATTAATTACTGGATTAATTTTAAGCTATATACATTAGATTAGCTATATTAATTAATGGATTAACTTTAGAGCTATATACATTAGTTTAGCTATATTAATTAATGGATTAACTTTAGAGCTATATACATTAGTTTGGTTATATTAATTAATGGATTAATTTTCAGTTCTGATTTGTGCAAGTGTTTGCTATAATCAAATGTTACTGATACTATACACGTCACTGTGTATATCCTTAATAAGTTGGTCTTTTTATTCAACTATTTTTCTGTATATTACGAAACTGTTCAGATCATTGGATTCTATTTTTATAAACAACAAATCTCTGAGAAACATTTATGTCTGATATCAGTCATTAGTTGTTATTGAAGACAAGCCTGAAGGGCCCACGCTCTGCCCCTTATGGTTCACAGAAGCCTCAATGTACCTATCAAGCTCCTCCGTTATTCCAAATTACTTCTATAGCCACCCCAAAGGGGTCTGTACCATAAAATGTGCCCAGTTAGGACAACCACCATGTCAGATTTGGTCCTGCTAGCTTTTAAATGGAGGTATGGACACAGTTTCAAACATGGCAACCCCACGATATCGAATGGGGCCAAGAACACAAAATTTTCGGAAGCGTTTTAGTCCCCTTTGGTAAGGGGTTACGCTATACAGGTAAGGACACCCTTTCCTGGGCTACTCCGCTTCACATACTAAGTTTGGTTCTGCTAGTTTCAACACTGCAGGAGAAATTTGTGGGCAAACAAACAAATTCACTCACAACGAGAGTTAATATAAGATGACGACACTTTCTGTCCTACTTCATAAAAATATCGAAATGTAAGAAAAAAAGAAAAAGCTCCACTATAAGAAAGATGAAAATTAAACCGCTAAAATAATAATAATGGTGTTTTATTAAGTCTTTCATACAGCTCTGCTCACGTTAACAATTCGATGAAACAAACAGACGTATGAATGCCACGTCATATAGTGACGTCATTTGAAATCATAGAAACTAGTAATAACAAGACAAGCAACTGAAAGTTTAATTCTTTTGATTAAAGATTTATTAGAAAATCACATGTGTTTTCTGTGTTTAGTCAATCTCAGGAGCTGGCTGCCGCATGCATATGTAGAAATAATTAAATCCGAACTCGTTTTGGTGCGGTATATCGACCACAAATTCGTATTACGTGATTCGACAAAAATGACGTCATGCTCTCAGCACACTGCTGACTTTAGCAAATTGCTGCGCGAATGTTCAATTCGATATCAGCGCATGCCTGGCGCTATTGCCATGACATCATCTTCTTTGTGAGGCATGAAATGGGTACAAGAATCACTGAGTTTATTCCATAAACGACAGCAAGTTACGCCGGTATTTCCTCGTCGTGGTTCCTTAGGGTCATTATGCCTAAATCCATGAATGCTGCACTGATGAAACCTTTAGTGGTTCTGGCTCTTCCTGGAATGTATCTTGTCTACAAGATTAACGAGCTTAAGAAACAACAGCAAGAACAAAACCGAAGGAAAATTACAGAGCGAGAGCTAACTCATCTAAACCATAAGATAGTAAGTAGATAGTTACAGATCGAGATTTAACTCATCTAAACCACAAGACAGAAAGTAGATAGTTACAGATCGAGATCTAACTCATCTAAACCATAAGATAGCAAATATATAGTTACAGATCGAGATCTAGCTCATCTAAACCATAAGATAGTAAGTATATAGTTACAGATCGAGATTTAACTCATCTAAACCATAAGATAGTAAGTAGATAGTTACAGATCGAGATCTAACTCGTCTAAACCATAAAATAATAAGTTGATAGTTACAGAGCGAGATCTAACTCATCTAAACCATAAGATAGTAAGTAGATAGTTACAGAGCGAGATCTAACTCATCTAAACCATAAGATAGTAAGTAGATAGTTACAGAGCGAGATCTAACTCATCTAAACCATAAGATAGTAAGTAGATAGTTACAGAGCGAGATCTAACTCATCTAAACCATAAGACAGAAAGTAGATAGTTACAG